ATAGGTGCTGATTTCCTAACTAGAGATGTTCAAATTGATGATCGTACGGTAACATTGCAGGTACGTCTATGAATTTTCTCTTATTCGCCATGTCTTACGTGATTTTCAAACATTCCAATGTGTATTGGGCATTCATATACTAGTTCATGATACATTCTCTAAATATAAACGTGAGACGACTCAGTTACAATAAAAAAGGTTATAAAGTTGACGCGGACTAGCTGTAGGCCAGTTTCTTGATTAGTAGTATGTTTACCCTCTATACTGCATTTATAATCATATACTTTTTCATCTGTCTGTTTAATAGAGTTGGAATTTAATGTAGTCGTTGTTGAAATAGGCGTCTTAGGATGTACAAGATTCCTCCTGCCCGTTTCAATTTTGTTATTTGATAATTCACATTCATTCTTATCAAGTATCCATCGCAAAATCATAATAATATGAGTGCTAGTAGGTTTACAGCTATCTTTCTCCTTGTATAACCGAAAATGTTTCAGATCTGGGATACAGCAGGGCAGGAGCGCTTCCAGTCATTGGGTGTTGCTTTTTACCGTGGAGCTGACTGTTGCGTACTTGCCTTTGATGTTACGAGTGCGTCATCATTTAAAAGTCTCGATTCGTGGCGAGACGAGTTTCTTATCCAGGCTTGGTATGTAATTCACTTTTCAAATTATCTGGTATAACGCTTGTTTTTTAGCCCTCGCGATCCAGAGAATTTTCCATTCGTTTTACTCGGCAACAAAGTCGATTTGGAAGCACAGCGGGCTGTGAGTGCGAAGCGTGCACAGTCATGGTGTCAAACGAAGAATAATATCCCTTATTACGAGGTATCGTTTTGGCCTGTGTTGCATTAATTACTTAACCTTTTTACTACTTTAATAATAACGCCTGTAGGTATCAGCTAAAGAAGCGGTAAATGTCGAAGCTGCCTTCCAAGCAATTGCGCGTGATGCTCTTGCTAGAGAAGCTCAGGTTAGTCATATTGCGTTTCGTTTTCCAATTATTAGCTTTCTTGGTTTTTGTTGATTGGTTGTTGGAAAACTGCGTATGACAAGAAATTGTTTACGCTCAGAAGGATTTTTTTCTGGGAAAATTTGTCTACACTACTTCCTCTTTTTGGCAAGGTACTAACTGGAGTGCCGTCTAT